CATTCAATTAAATAGTTAAACGCGGCACAATATTACCCCACGAATGCACAAAAAATTTACATGTGACTCACTGGATAACATCACGAAGAACCTGATAGATCATATTTGCACTAGTAAAAAGTTACAAGGTCAGTGGTAGTCGTGAGAACCAGGAGAAAAGTCGTCATTGCATCAAATCACCACCTAGTTGAGGTCAAGATGAAACCAAAGATAAAGAAGCATTGAACAGCTGGACAAACAGCATCACAAAGGTTCAACAAAGCGTTCCCTCGACATAATGACAAACTCAACAAACTGAAGATAACTCTCAACAACAGTTTTCAAGCCCCACAGGATCTACTCAAAGGAGAAAAAAATACTATGGAGGACAACTGGAAGGGGATAAAAAAGCATTAACTTCAATGTGTCACAAATTGATGGGTCAAAGCAAGCATCATCATCATAAGAAATGGATCTCTATGGAAACCCTGGAAAGAATTCAAGAAAGGAAGAACAGGAAGATAGAACTTAACAACAACCAGCCGAATAAGAGCATAAAAAGTCAAGGTACAAGCTTAATGCTAAGAAGCAAACAAGCGAGTGACGAAGAACATTAGAACCGATAAACAGAAAAACATGAAAGATCTAGCAAGGAGAGCGGATGAAGCTGGAAGAGAAGGAAATATGAAACGACCATATGACATGACGAAGAAACTGGCGGGGAAATATGGTAAACCGGAGAGACAGTTCAGGGACAAACAAGGCAACACAATCACTGGAATTCAAGGACAGATGAGTTGAACACTTCTAGGAACTTTCGAATAGACCAGTCCCATGAAATCCACCGGATATCAAGCATCACACACAGACATTTCTATAGATGTCACTCCACCTACGATCGAAGAAATAGGGATAGCCATCGGAAAAATCAAGAGCGGGAAAGCATCAGTACCTGACAGTGTGCAAGCTGAAGCAACGAAGTCACATGTATAAGCAGCTGCAAACATGCTACATGTTCTATTCAGGAGGACTTAGGAGGGAAAATAAGTGCCGACAGACAGCAATGAAGAATATCTCATCAAAATGCCAAAGAAAGGGGAACTGAGCAAATGCAGGAAATAGAGACATCAAACCACTGTCAGGAACAGGAAAAGTTTTCAACGGAGTATTGCTGAACCGGACGAAAGATCCAGTAGACGCCCAATTTTGAGATCAACAGACCTGACTCCATAAGTGTTGGTCATGCACAAATCAAATGGCGACACTACTGATCATTGTCGAATAGTCAGTTGAACAGAACTCGTCACTATACATCAGTTTCCTTGACTATGAGAAAGCATTCCACGCATGGATAGAAGAACCTTATGAAAACTTCCTCGACTCTATGGTGTACCTGTAGGGCTAGTGAAATGTTACTGAACCCTAATCAAATCAATCAGTAGTCGGGTCACTCAATATGTAAAGTCCCCCAATCATCGTCTAAGTCGAGGACAACCGACGCGCATCAGTTAATTGCACTCCATGGATTGGCCTGTGCGGTGGTGGTCGCAATCTGTTTCTTGTACCTACTCTTCCCAATATACTTCTGTAATAAGGTCGTTTGTGTTTTATGGTTATCAAAGTGGCCATAGTACCTGAATACGATGAAAGGGTGCCATTGGCGTTGGCTACACCATTCCTGTCTAACACGAGTAGGCATTTAATCATTCGATATAGATCATCTACGTTGGTGACCTGTATACAATGTAAAGTCGTGCATGGAAGACAGCTAACAGATGCATTCCAAGTAAGGATCGGAGTAAGATAAAGCTATTAACTCTCACCCATTCCCTTTCTTCAGGCGGTTGACTGGATTATGATGACCTCCATATCGCGAAGAAAGCACGGAATACAATGGACAGCTTGCAACTAGATGATTCGGACTTCGTAGATGACCTAGCTCTCCACTCTTATACATAGCAACAAATGCAAGCGGAGAAACCCAGTGTAGCGGTAGTCTCTTCGACAGTACAGCTCAACAGACACAAGGGCGAAAGCAAGGTCCTGAAATGCAACAAAGCAAGCACCAACCCAATCACACTTGATAGAGACACTATGGAAGATGTGGAAAGTCACGTATTTAGGTAGCATCATCGATTGACAAGGAGGATCCGATGCAGACGTAAATGCAAGGATTCGCAAAGCAAGGGCGACGTTCCTACAGTTGAAGAGCATATGGAACTCAAAAAATTTGTCGACCAATATCAAAATTAGAATCTTTAATACGAACGTCAAGACAATTCTTTCGTACGGTGCCGAAACTTAGAGAACCAGCACAACCATAGTCAAAAAAGTACGAGTATTTCTCAACAATTGCATACGGAAAATACTCATTGTCCGTTGACTGGATATAATCAGAATCAGCCTACTGTGGGAGAGATCAAACCAGCTTCTAGCTCAAGAGGCAATTAGGAAAGGACGTTGGAAGTGGATAAGACATACATTACCGAAACCATCAAACTGCATCATGAAGCATCTATTCATTTATTGTTTGAGGGTGAATCACGAAGCAAGCGCTAACTTGGAATCTTGAAGGGAAGTGGAAGTCAGTCAGTAACAACGTAGAACCTCGTACGTACTTATGTCAGCTCAAGTTGCCATACCACATTAGCACACTGATACAATTGTCGATTCAAATCCCATATTGGTAGAGGTAGTAAAAGTATAAGCAGTAGTCGGAAAGATTAGGGTTTGAACATGTTATTGAAGGAGCATAATCCAGTGAAATAAATTTGGAAAGAAAAAATGGGCATGAAGAACTCAGAAGATTAGAATTTAGGAGAACACAAAGAGGTGATGCACCTGCACCATTGCAAACGATTTTCAGCCATGTCATTCAAGGTCTCTAACCATCGGTTTCTATCATCTCGTGGATCTCAACCAGGTAGTCTACACCTATCAATTTGACTCAGTCCACTTGTCATTCATTTGTGCCATGTTTTTGTCTGACCGCCCCTAGCTTTCTTCTAACCTACTCCTACATCATAAAGCATCGCATGTCGGTGGTTGGGCATACGTAACACGTGTCCCAGCCATCTCAACTGATGAAGTTTCACTACTTCATCAATCGATTTTCCACCTTTACCCAGTACCCACTTCATAACAACTGCACAACCTACTCGGTGTTCCCACGATGTACGAACAATGCTTCAAAGACACCTATGATCGAACACTGGTAACCTATGAATATCCTCTACTCTTGCCGGCAATGTTTCACTACCATAAAATGTCCTAACCTGTAATCGTACTTCAGACAAAATCAATCTGTTAATGGATATTACCTATGGATATAATTTCTGTTTACGATAATTTGGATAATCAATAAAAATAGATACTTTACTTTTTAATATCTGTGTTTCAACCATTTTTGTACATTCATTTATTCACTAAAATCAAACAAATAAAAGGATGAAACGGGCGTTCAATGCTTTCAGGTTTTCCATAGTGGTCTAGTTTCAATTGACTCATAATCTCAACTATTGAAATAAAAGACAATTATGAATTTTTATAAAGTTAGTTGTTTTAATTCTTTATCTTTTAAGAATAATACGAAAAAAAAGAAAAAAATAACAGAGAAATGACTATAGACAACAAGAACAACAACAACAAATCAATACTGATAACAAAATAACAATCAATATTGTATTTCTTTACTTGATTTAAGGAATAAACACAAAGAGGAGAAATGAAAGGAATGTTATAAAACTAAACACAATATTATACAAATAAGATATATACATACATTGAAATTTCAATTCAATTGACTGATTCAACATACCAATTTTAATAATGATCATGAGTTCATTGAAACTAGACCAACATAAAAAAAACCCTGCTGAGGAGTTCCATAATACGATGAAACGACCGTCCAATGTTTCTAAGTTTTTCATAGTGATTTAGCTTCCATTGACTCATGATCTCAATTATTGGAATAAATCAATAATTTGAAACAAGAGTAGTAAAGTTATTTATCTATCAGATAAATCATTTAAATGGAATATAAATGAAGAGAATACCAACTTATATGTATGTGTTATGTATATGAGATTGTGGTGTGTGCTATTTATATTGACATAAGTAATATATGATGTTAGTTGTGAACAGAAGGTCTGGCAGCAGAGAGACAAGAGGATAGAACAGTAAAGAATCGAAACAGAATGCAATTTGTATGAAAATGCAAGAACAATGAAGTGTGAGTGATTATGAGACAAGTGATGAACATTTTGCAAATTACGTGTTTTATTATTTAATTGTTAGATTTTATGAACAAATCCTGTAATTTTGTGTTAAATACTTTCGATTGTCCCCACTGGTGTTCTTGTTCACTACAACATGATCATTCATAGAACAACACATTAAGAATTAGTATATTAGTAAATTTTGATAACCTTATTTATTGCACATAGAAGAGAGAATATTCTAATTCAACATTATGAGATAATACTGGCGTATTAGAATGAATAAATGAATGAATAACTAATAAAAACGAATTCATTACAACAAACTTATTACCAAGAGTTTCAAGTGTAGAAATACAACAGGAATATTATAATAATAATAATAATAATAATAATAATAATAATAATAATAATAATAATAATAATAATGGGAACTGTAGAAAAACCAAAAGCAAAACGAAAAAACGAAAAAACTTCGAAAAGCGAATGAACAAAATAATGAATTAATGAAAAATATAATAATACTATAATATTATTATGATTAGTAATATATATATATATATATATATATATGCCCTCACATGAAATCCTCAAGGCCAAAGGAAAAGCGGAACACCAGAGAACACATTACGCCCGGAAACTGAGATAGACATGAGAAAGATGAAGAAGAATTGGATGGAATTAGAAAAGAAGGCTCAGGACAGAGTGGGTTGGAGAATGCTGGTCGGCGGCCTATGCTCCATTAGGAGTGACAGGCGTAAGTAAGTAAGTAAGTAATATATATGATAAAAGTGTTTAAATCATTTATTTGATCTGATTATCTATATTACGTACATTTTTTAATAAATTAAATGTATCATGAAATAATTGCCTATAAGCTGGTTTATAATCTAAATGAATTAAATCATGATATTGTGAACGTATATATGGATTATAAATACGATCTAAATAACTAACAAAATGAATATCATCTAATAAATCATTAATTTGATCAGATATTCTTGGTTTCAATTTATCATTGGTTCTATTTGTTTTTGTTTCTATTAAATTATTTTCAATCAATTCAGTGATAAAAGAATTTTCTTTTTGATTTGATTCATTATTATCATTATTACTATTGTTAAGATCACTAGTCAGTATGTGTTGATCATTGTGTTGTGATGGAGATGGTGTAGACGAACGACTGCCAGGCTGAAATATTTGAGAAAGTGAGAGAGAGAGACAGTTAGTAAAAGAAGGTCGTTTGCCATTGACTATTGACTTCCTGAGTCACATTAAACTTTGATGATGATATATATTACTAAAGAAGTAATATCAATCAGAGAAATAAGTTAGAATAGAAAGCTTCAGTACAGCTACTTTCATATTTACTGTCCTTTACTAAATCAGATTTTAACGTTAACAGTTTGAAATTAGTTTAACTTATGATACTTGCTGATCATTATGATTATAAGCAGAGTTGAATGTTGTATACCAATAAGACTATAGATTACGGATTGGCACATGTCACAACTTGATTGGGTTGTCGGAATTATTTGCATCGAATCCAAAAATTATAGGACGTTTTGACATTGGTTATTTCACCAGTCATGAGAAACTTAGGGGTTTGAAAACGATCGGAAATAAATGTTGGTCGTGATTATTATGGGACGCCCAACTAAATAATATGTGCTCACTGGAATGGCTCAAGGCAACGTTTAGTGACTTCATGAACTGATACCATATCATGTTAGATCCACCTTACCTTAATTTATCCCAACCAACATTACACGCCGAATTATTCAGTGGATTTGGTATACTGAACAAATGTTTCAGTCAACTCGGTCGATAAAGGTTCACTGCATTATCAACTAATTTTCTATCTTTTCTTAGTGCCATGCATCTGATGTCAGCACTGACCATTCGATTATCCCAATATAAACCACCATTGCTTCATGACATCTTAAGTCAAATGACGGTAAGCTGAGAACGTCTTCTAATTGCATAGACTGCGTTTCACACCCTTAAAGTAAGAGGGAGCGAACTGCTGTTCCGTTTACTCGTATCATCATTAACAGATAGGCAACTCCGCATGGAGCCCCTCTGGGCCTACTGATAGTCTCAAGCCCAGATAAAGAGGGAGGGTTGGGCATGAGGTTAGCGACCCCATCTCATAGAAAACTAACTCGCTAAAAACGCTAATCAGAAAGAATTATTCAAACCATTTGAACTCTGCTCTGAGAGTTAGGTCTTCATTCAGAAGAGTTATAACGCCTCATGATGAAAGCTGAGTTCCTCCAGAAGTCACGAGGCTGATGCTCCTTCTGACAACCAGAGTAACCATTAATTTAGGTACATGGAATGCTCGTACAGTGTGGGAGGCCGGGGGAGTCTTCCATATTGCTGCATCTTACTTAAGCCACAGGTGAAAAAGCTTCCGATAAAATTCACCTTTTGCCTCATCCGAATTGTAGTAAACAAAGACTAAGAGGGGTCAAAGGCACATGTCACTAATCTTACAAGTTATTACTGTTCCATAAAATCGGATAGCACTTGATCGACTATCTACCGAAATCCAGCCCATGAGAGTGTGACATATTTTTAAAACCAACGTTATACCTCAGCCACCGAGGCGATCAAGTCTTCTAAATACATGAAGTAATGACATAAACTATGACTCAAGGATTGAAAACCGAGTGTTACAACTAGTAAGCTATCCCTTTAGACTTTTATAAATTACTACCACTGAAGTAATTACTTCTATGAATTTGGTTTTCATCCTATTGTGCTAATGGGGTGTGGCAACTTGGGCCGATGCATATATATGCTTGGTCCTACGTTGTAGCTAACTGACTGGAAAATGGATCATGTATTTAGAGGAAAAGAAATAAAACGAAATTTAGTAAAACACCCCACCCGAATAACTTCAGATTCTGTAATGACTAGAGAATTTGATAATCCCATAGATTCTGATGATGGGTTGACTTGATTTCCATTAGAAAATGCTTCACAATGATAATCGTTACTAATTGAAGCATCTGTAATGTAAAATAAAACAAAATATTACACAACACTTATTTTCAAAAATCAGTTTGTATAGAATAGTTTGAACTAAATTATTCATGAAAGCAATATTAATGTATTGTATATTATGTAAGCAGTACTTATTGGGTTCGAAATTAATTTCAATGTAGTGTACTTAGTTTGGAAATCTTATTGGCATTAGAAACGTAGAAAGTGACTATACTCCTCATATAACATTCGATCAACGTACGTAGCTAGAATAGGGTTTTAATCGTTGTGTTAAGCACCCCCCCCCCAGTCCCGGTATAAGGTTAGTATGCGATCTTGGGAATTTCTGGATCTGACTGAAACCATCAACTTATCTAAGTTAGACCATCATTGAAAGCCTGCAAGCAATGAATGGGACTCCCCAGATTTCCGCATCCACGGCCACAAACACAAGAATCGGACACAGGAACTTAGGTAACATGCGCGGATGCTTCACCTCCAGACCACTCAGACGGTATCCAACGATGTCAATGTCTAAATAAATGAGCGACCGTCTTCTGTTGCTTTCGTTGGGTTGCCTCAACAAAAATCAGGAAATTTCCCCTCGAAGCTAGTCACTAGTGAGCGCATAGTGACTGCATAAAGCTACCTAAATACTAACACCTAATGATATTCAGTATGTTTTGTATTATTTATAGATTACCAATTTATGAGGGGAATTGTCAAAACCCTGCAAACCCTATTGTTTGGGGTGAATATCTCAACATTACTCTGGGTTTTATATTCATTACAGTCAAACAACGAAGTAAAGTTGTGTTATCTCTGAAAAGTACTTATTATAAAGATCATGACAACTGGCGTTTTATATGATAATTGGTAAATTATGTCCTGTATTAGTACTGACATATTGGTAGGATTTAAAACAAAGTGATTTTTGAATGCAACGTAAAACAAACTGGATCTCTAGGTTCGTATCAATGCTCGTATCATACGACCTTCTAGTTGAAAAAAAATCATCTTTCACGTTATTGTCGAATAATGTAGATCAAAGCGCATATACATATATATATATATATATATATATATATATATATATATATATATATATAAATGCATTCACATTGAACGAAAATATGTTATAAAAAGAAACATACCAGTTGTCAAAAAACGTTGACACAAGTACTAATAAACCTACGACATTCTAGTGTCTAATAATCGTGCTTCTAAATACTGATAATTTGTTTAGTTCACTATAATAAATAGTAGCAACAAAAAATCAATGTGAAACTATTGTTCCATATATAATTGTGTGTTTTGCACACAATCTTTACGATTCATGTCTGATGAAAACAATCGTAATATATGATAAGGATCACACATACACAATAAATTGTACTTTTAAAACTGAACGGGGGTAAAGAAAACATGCTTGTGTAACTACTGATATTATTTATATAAGAAAACAAATAGTTTAAGGGAAAAAAATGTTATACAAAATTAAAGCAAATTAGAATCGACAGTTATAAAAAAAAACTATTTTGTCGAGGAATAGAGAATCCATAAGGATTGTCAAATGACTTCACACTATGACAGATTCAACTCTAAAAATATGATTGTTTTTTGCTACGTTAAACTTATGAATGATGATTAAGTTTCATTAGGAAGTTAAAGACTATAGTACGAAGTCAATGTTAGCAGGTAAGATGAATGACTGAAGCTAGCCGGTAGTCATATGTTAATAAAGAATTTGTAGTTAAGATTATATTCATTCAGCATGTGTTAAAGGATTTTTTAATTGAAGCTAATAATGAAAGTTGAATTCTAGTGTAAATTGATTAAAGATAAACTAATTAACTACCAAGCCGGTAAACACGTATAAGTTAAAATCATCGGTACATATAATAGTAATATCCATATCTAACCTGTACCCATCTCGGCAAGACTATAATTCGTAAACGAACCAGATAGACTTAAAAAACCAAGTCTTATTAGTTGACGAAAAATCCATTCTTCCGTATGGCTAAATAGCGATTTGCAATTTTGTCTCATTTCAGTTAGTGATGAGAACCCCAATAAATAATGTCAACTACCATAATGAAGGGCTCTACATTACGGGGAGGTACGAAGAACATTCATATGAATTGGTTATGTTGGGACTTCTGATCATTTTGATGGACAGTGTGACAATGTTTTAAACGAATTTCGGATTTTCTCAAATTCAGAATATTGGTTTTGGATTAATCTACATTAATCCTGAGTTTTTCTACAGAGAGACAGTGTCAGTTAATCCATTGACCTAAGAAATCTCACTAGTCCTTTTGAGATGGTGGCTGATAAATACTCGACTATGCTGATTTATATCAACACAACTCATCTGTGGTAAATTAGTTGTCAGATTTAACAAAACCGAGTATTTCCTCTGTAGTACTCGTCTATTTGAAACATATCTTTTGAAAATATAGCAAATATAGGAGTATAATGGAAACACTAGATAACAGCTATTGTCGAAGCACTGCTTATGTATGCTGGAACAACTGAATGAGAGAAATACATAAGTTAGGCTTAAAATATTAAATAAAGATTATTAGAGCAAGGAATAAATTGTGTACTCTTATTGATTAAAGTGGTTCAGATATATGTTAAGCAACTACAACCTCAATATTCAATACTGTTTGGGATGCAAGTGGATAAGAAAAAACAAATGTCGTCACAGAATTTTTCACTAAAGTTTACAATTAAGCTGGGATGTATTCAATCCTTATTTCTATTGTCGTCTGAAACGTATTATTCTGTTACTTATTTATTCTATTATTTCATTTCATCCCTTTAATTTGCAATTATTGTTTCTTTGTTAGCTTCCTCTAAATGTAGTCATACGAATAGTAAGAAAATAATGAAGTACATACATATATCAGGTGGTGGAGAAGATTTGTAGCTCAGGTGGATGATTTTGATGGAGTTTTGTTCTCTGAGCTCAAAGAACAAAACTCCATGAACATATATCAGGTCCCAATCAATTGTTACAAACCACGACGTTTGATTCGCATATTTTTGTTTGAAAACTACTAATGAAAGTGAAAAGACCAGGAGTGTTCAGGAAGCTTTAATTAGAAAAAAATTAACAATAATGTATTGTATTTCACATTTCACTTCGCGAAGCTAGATAAAGAAAAGTCTCATGTGACGTTGATTAGTTGAGTAGTTAAATCCCTGTGATAGTATTTCTTGACTAACATATCATACTTGACGTTTAACGATGAGACTGTACAAGCATGTGACATGACTAGATTCTGACAGCCTATCAATTGTTCATAACTATTTATCTATCATTTATTTAAAATACGGCTATTTGTAAAAATACAGAACAAAGGTATATCCTGGAGTTGTAGTGAGAAGTAGTAACCAGTGGAGTTCAACCAGGTCTGTTGTGAGATAGTAACTCACTGAAGACAATGGTGGATGTGTCGCTCAATTTCGTGGATTAGTTGAAGTTAGACATTAACATTGTTGGATGCGAGCTCAGTGGTCTAGTGGTTAAGCGCTCACGCGCGAGACTAATAGGTCCTGAGTTCGAATCTCGCGAGGCGGAGTCGTGGATGTGCACTGCCAAGGAGGAGTCGCACTGTGGGACGAAACGGCCTTCAAGTGCTTCCAGGTTTTCCATGGTGGTCTAGCTTCAATCGACTCATGATCTCAACCATTGAAATTACTATAACATCCACAAAACCCTTCTGATATAAAATCATATATTACTATTCTACTAAATATCTGGTATGCATTCCTAATAAAGAAACCGACAGAAATTATTTAAAACAATAAATTTGGCAACCATATTTTTTTGAAAATAGTACAAAATGTAGTAAACTGAGGTAATGATATAAAATTTCCCAAAAATAGAATGTTTACCATGATTATCTTTCCCATCTATTAAATTATCATTCATATTAGGATTTAATGTATATTGTGAAGAATGATCATAATTTGCCAAATTACAAAATAAGTCAGTATGATCATCACAATTAAACAACATTTTATTTAAATGAGGCCAACTAAATGTACGATGTAACATTGAAGATATATTCAATGTATCATTAATATTATTATCATCATCATCATGATCAGTTAATAGTGTACATTTTTTTTCATTTGTCATCTTCGAATTGATCATCAACATCCAAGGCATTTTATTACATAAATTAGATGATGATAATTGTGCATATGAAGATTTTTCAAATGTTAACTGTGAAATGGATGAGGATTTCGAATTTGTTCGTAATAATTTCAGTTGATTACCAGCACCAAGAATACTATTATTATCATTATTATTATTACTAGAAGCAACACCAATATCTGGTTGATCGAATAATTCATCATCAATAAAGAATAAACCACCCTTTTCACGATAACCTGGAAACGAAGTGTTACTATATTGATTAGTTTTACTTCTGTTATTATAATGATTGTACATTGGTTTCGATTTCATTTTCTCTTGAAAATATCCGCCATAATTTTTACTTAAAATGATTGATCTATGTATATTTTTTAAAGATAATACGTCAACGTTATTATTATTATTATTATTTTTCGTATTAATAGGCCTAAGAGTTGTATTTATTTTCTTGGTTGATGATATAATTGTTGATGGTGAAGACGTCGGTGAACTTTTTTGTAATAAATGTCGTCGATAAGTTGGTAAAGGTGTAGAAGTTGGAGATGAAGTGGAAGAAGAAAAATTTGATTGGATTATTTCTGTTCCTTTCATCATTGATTGATTATCGTATTTTTTTAATCGTTCCATTAATCCAGCAATTTGTTCTTCTAACATGGCTATTGTATTTGATAATCTAATTTAGAAAAGAAAAAAGAAACAATATAAAAAGAAAATTTGAAATGAATCAAATGAAATAAATATGAACTGATTTGATCCTTAAAAAACAAATCAAACTGATATCTGGATGCACTAATTTTAACGCATAAATTACACTGATCAACAGTTATTTATGTGTTTAGTAAGCTGAATAGTACTTGACTTTGACGAATTACGAACTTACTGTATGTACTGATGAGCCCTCTAATTGAACGCTCGATTCGGTTCCTAAGCTCTTCTAATAACCCCCAGGATAGATTTACACAGCAACTTGAAAACGAGAAAAAAGGCGCGAGATATGGAAGAAACGTTTTACTCCAAAGGTTTCTTTGTGCACAGAAAATCTAGGGTTTTTATAGTATTTTAGATGTCCTTGGGTTTCGGTAAAATTTTGGAATGTTATTAAGCATATTAGCAGTATAAGTAATCACGCAATCAGAAACTCGACATGTACCTTTTCACTTTCTAGATTTTTCTGGCAAAGCCTCTAGTGAAGACTGATTGGATAAGATGCTTCTCAGTGTTTTCAGAGCCTTTCTTGTCTTGGATCTCACCAATACGTACACATACTCACAAAGTCTATAGCGAACAGATATAACTAATTGACAAGATTACACTACTTAAAGATGTGACTATATGTCATAGACGAATGAGAAAAAAATCAGTGTTGTATATTACTCTTTATCTATGATCGATTAATTACTTGATCAGAATACTGACTCATTGAATTGTCATTTATTTTAAACAGTCAATATACACTGATAGTATATATTGGTGTTTGGAACAATAAATGGTACTAGTGTAAAACACTATAATAGGTAGGAGGTATATATATATAGTCTTCGGTCGTCCATTTGCATCTTCCAGTGTTCTGCCAACGCAGTGCTTCCGATACACTGAAACTTTGACATCACGTTCCGCTACACACAACTGACAAACATCCTTGTGAGTAGTGTCCACAACACTAGGTTTGAGTCTCAAAGTGAATATCAACACTGTAATCCAGGTACAAATAACTGATAAGCTTAAAATAAAACGATATACCCATTATAAATTTCTTTGCTGACCTCAATCCAAAAATGTAACAGAGATGCAACTGAATAAAATATAGTGGTATTTGCTTAAGGAGTGTTAATGAAAGCTCATGAAATTCATTCATCATTATTGGCAACCAGGAAAACCGCTAATAGTACTGCTAATAATCGTTATTATTAATATAGTTAGTAAAAACCAAGTTATACCTAAAAATAGAGTTGAATGGTGGCTCGCAGTGTAATCCCGAATGCGTGTTTCGCTCTACTTTGAACTCATCAGTTGAATGCACATGTATCCGCCTTCGTGCTCACACGAATGCTTGAACCCACTACCGTTCGTTTCAAAAGACCACCGCCTTGTCGCCTTAACTACTAAATTCAGATAGTCACCAGCTTGTGCAGTGGGGTGAATACTAATTCTTTTTCATTGGTTGCTTAAATTTTATCGTTGATGGTATGAACTACAATTGATCAATCCGTTCTAGCATGTATGGATCCTGAAAGGAGTGCCTAGTTATTGGCGTCAGGTCACAAGTACTTAAGCAGAACTAGATAATGGATAGCAGTGAAATGTTTGGGATTTAATTGTAATACCAAGACAACGCTCATAGAATGCACACATGCCAAAGGAGACTGGTCAATAGAAATTCATCATAACATTGACGGTAAGTTTCAAACAACTAATACAAATGAACAAGTTACAGATAGTTAAATGATGAATCCAATATATAAATTACCATTTAGTGTGTATAACTTCACACATATTACACCCAAACTAAGCACATGTTACCGAAAATACGGTTAAACAGCCGGAAATGAACTAATTTATTGATTACTTAACTATAGTTATCTTCGCAGTTATTACAAGTGCCATACCAATGTTTTACAAAATTGCAACATTAATAACAAATCATTATTTTTTCTGTAAAATGGTAATTAATGGATCACACTTTCGCATTAATAATAATAATATATCTGATAATGTTTTTTTTTGTAAAATTATCCTAAAACATAATAAAAATAAACTCGATCAATACAGAGAGCAAAAGTGCATTTACTTCCCTATTGTCATAGTTTGAAATTAGGTACAAAAAAATTAAAAAAATTCCACAAACGAAAGTTTGCATTTATTTATCACATTTTCAATGTTCAATAGCTGTGAGTAATTTGGATTGGTTGAAGTTAGACATTAACACCGTTAGATGCCGACTCAGTGGTCTAGTTGGTTAAGCGCCTGGCGCGAGACTGATAGGTCCTGGGTTCGAATCTCACGGGGGGCGGGATCGTAGATGAGCACTGTTGAGGAAGCCCATATTGGGACGAAACGGCCGTCCAGTGCTTCTAGGTTTTCCATGGTGGTCTAACTTCAATTGACTCATGATTTCAACCAGTGAAATTTCCCATTCATTTAATGGATAGAAAGTGCAATCTTCATTGAGGATTTCATTTCAAGCCCTACATTTCATTATATTTGTCATTTTCATTCAAATTATGTGGGTGTACAAAGGTGATGTATTGGTAACAGACAGTTGGAGATAACTTCAAATATTTAAAAAGAAATCTCCATTGAAAATTGCCCCACTTTATACAGTGTTCATCCATCAAATGAACAGAGAATTACCTGAAAATCTTGAATGTCGCACACAAATTGAATATTTAAAGCATGTCAGATTTACTTCAAAAGGAATAATATTTTATTCTAGACTCAGATAAAACGATACGCCGGATATAATTGTCTACTGCTAAGAGGACAGAATCATGACTATTGAATTCATATTGATTAGAATAGAGGTCGGGTGTGTAGCCTGATTGCACAAACCTAACTGTTCAAGCAATTATGCGATCACTTGATTGTTCGAATAAAAAAATTGATGCAAACTTCTTGTTTTAGCCTTTCTTGTGTATTCGCTAACACAAACGTTTGTTTATTCATGAATACTTTAAAAAGTTACCACAGAAAGGCATTGATCCACCATTATTTGGGTTAACGAAGATTTAGTTCTTTATTGTAAAAACCGGTTGTGCTGCAGAATAGGTTCTTTTAAGGACCACTTTATAAATTTAACCAACTCTACCTGAAACTTCATCCCTTTTAAATTCAAAAGAGGTGAAAACGGATTTTTATTAACAATTGACATTTAGGACATTCTTCGTTATGTGTTTAGATCTAGATAGTTGGATTGATCGTTATGTTCAAATTACATTGTAAATTTGATGTTTCCATGTGTTTTGCTGAGTTGGCAAAGGAATCAAGGAGTATATACAAATTGTTACAAACAATAAATACATCGTCCATACATATTCTGTATAATGTTATGTCCCCTATTTGACGTCTCATTTTCGTTTATTAAATATTGGTTATAAACATGTCGGGTAGAATAGGTCTAACCGGTAACCCTATGATCAGCCATTCCATTAATTCATCTGTATAACGGGTTATTAAATTTGAATTGAATATCCATTGGTCCAAAGAAACAGTGATTTTCTAAACTTGTTTGAGTCTAAAGGAAGTAAATCAAAATGCTAGAGTATTATATATATGGCTTCCTCCATTGGTAAGCTGATTACTATTAAACAAATAACCAATGATTTCATAAGTTTATCTGACTTATCTACATGATCCAGTTCTTTTGAAATTTGAAATGTCTTTTAACTCATGAATTGCTATTTTTCTACGAATTTATTCCAATAATTTCGTTAATTAACTGATTAAATTATGATACGATGAACTTATCATTATTTGATCCATAAATTACACATCTCCTAACGAACTTGACTGTATCAGACATCTTGCATTGGTTTACATTTGTGTCATAGCATTGGTCATGGTCAAGAATCTAAATCTTAATCTAATGGATACAACCTCAGAAACAGCTTTCTTACGTAATATATTTTGTACACTGTTTAGGCTATAAAGATATACTTCATACACCATTATTCATTACTTACCGCTGAATCTTTTGTTGATCTTCGGAAATTTTACGCATCAATTGACGATTATTATTATCCAATTCTTGATTATATCTATCAGCTTCATCAACAAATTCCATTTTACGTTGACTTAACTCACGAAGATTAGTAATTTCTTTTATAAGAAACTATTGAAGGAAAAATAAAGAAGGAAAAGTTACATTTCTAAGAAAATAATCTATAACTTATCAATGTATCTCTATCATAAAAAGATAACCAGTTAACAAATCGAATCATATGTATATTCTTGGTTGTTCATTGAATCATCAAAGACAGGTAAGTGTAATAAAATGTAACCAAATAAAGACAACAAGAAATATTCATAAACAAAGAGTATTAGGTTACAGTTACTACATCTTGTTATTTAATTCGGCACATAAGGTTAGAAATATTGAGTACTACATATGTGCATTAGAATGTGAACTCAATAATTTTAAACTATTAGAGCACAAAACAATGAGCTTACTTGGAAAGATGATCTTACCAACAATAGGTTTAGGAGAAGTAAGTGATTAGGGTGGACGAAAGTGAATTTGAAAACTTATTTACTAAATAAATCAGTATAACTTGAGTATTATTAGTAAAATACTTTTTTTATATAATATTGCATTCGTCTGTTTTACATTCTTAGTTATTACTTTATATCTGTTTACTGCACTTTAGATTGTACATTACATTTTTAAAACTAATTTGTCTAAACATTACACTTCTGAGAACAGATACTACACACGTGAGAATTCATGGATTTAATCTAACCCTTATCTTCGTAGATAGTATAGTGATCCATAAAAGATCTTGATTTGACTGCCTACAATCAATTGAATATCTCATCTGAATTTCAGAAATAGTTTCAACATAGTATCACAAAATCAGTTTTTTTTTATCTTATTTGAATTTATATACAGGAGCTAATGACATTTATGCGCAATAACTCGATGATATACCACTGCTATTGAAGAGAAGTGGGTTATACAGCTAAAAAAACGCATAAATTATTAACATTGTTCAAATATACAACATAAAAAGAAATCTAATGCTTAAATATCTCTCGAATAGAAAGTTTCAATGTCGAATCATAGTGGTCCAGTATCTATAATGATTAATAAAACCATACTTCTGTTTTCGATATGTCAATTAACAATAAACAATGATTAAACAACTACGAACATCAATACTATTTGAATGTTATGCTGACAATATTGTCTCGAAAGAGTGTAAACTTCATAAGTAGATTATCCAGCTCAGAGAATGAAATATAAAAAATGACACTATTATAGATCAGGATTTTATGAACGTGTTCCCAGCTATTAAAATGAATGGATTCAATGCCAGTCGATAGACGAAATGCAATGTGGTCGAATAATAGATGTTCTCGAGACAGAATGATTGATTTAAACCCAACATTGAAATGATAAAAAAGACAAGATCATCAGTTAGAAGGATTAATTTACCAATCTAATCGTTATAATCCACTAATTTTTAGAGCCAAAAATTCTAATAAAAAAGTGTATTCAATTATGAGGACTAAACCTTACTATGGTTAAAAATCTTGAAAGAGGACATTTTTTAACTGAATCATCTGGTTAATAGAATGTACTTAATTATTCCACAAATCAATTGCCTGAGAGTGTAAACTAGAAAATCAAAACGAAGGCTTATAAACACATATTCCACAATTAGAAAATAAGATATAAAAAACGATAAAAAAGTATATGACAAAAGCAAATGAATATTTTGTTCAAGGTTATCATAAATTAGGATTTAAAAAACAAAAGATCACTTTGATGTTAGATGGTTGAAGGTAATCTGGAGGGAACATTGCAAATAAGCTTTGAGTGAGTTGGTACACGTCTAAGACGGATATCTGAAACCTCTAGAAAAATGATGCTTCTTAAGAAATTCAAACCCTGGCTAGCTAATCCCATAATCTGAAGCCTTAGCATCGGTTGATCCGAATTATAACTGACACTCTTTAAGACTAAGGTATTTACCTTGATTGACTCAGTCAGTCAGTCAGTAACAACGTAGAACTTCGTACGTACGTACATCAGTTCGAGTTGCCACACCACATTAGCACAGAGATGCAGTTGTCGATTCAAATCCCGTAGTGTTAGAGGTTGATTGACTACTAAGAAACAGTGGCTATTTTCATGTTTATCTAATCTTATTATTAATAATATATAAACTCATTCAATCAGCTACAACATAGGACAAGACACATATATGCATCGTTCCAAGTTGTCATACTTCATTAACACAACAAGATCAACATCGGATTCATAAAAGTATTTAAGCCAATGGTGGTAATATATAAAAGAAAGATTGCATATGAGGATATAGTACAGGAAGAAAGAATCAGTTCATAGAAAGAAAGAAATGAAGCGAATTTAATCTCATATTTTAGGGGAAGACAGAGAGTGCATACACCGACGCCATTGTGATCGATTCTCAGCCATGTCACCAAGAGTCTCCAATCATTGGTTACGATAGTCACGCGGACCCCAACCAAGTAGTCTGCATCTCCCAACATGGCTCAGACTAGAGGTTAATGTCTTCAAGCACTGATGCCATGTTTTGGTTTGGCTACTCCTAACTTTCTTTCAACCGTTGTTGCTCCATTGACGTGGTGGTCGGGCTTGCCTATCTTGATGAAGCAACCGAGCTATACTGGCTGGAACAACTGTTCCTCAAAGTCCTACCATGTCGGACAAGTCGGTTGGAGAGCGGTAAGACTAAAGGCAACAAAACCAAGATCCGAAGGCGAAGTCGTACTGCTGATTGTACAGAGGTGTGACAGCAATAAGGTGTTTCCTTCAGACAACAAGCATGGCAGCGATGCTGCCTTCCCACAAGGAGGGGTGGGGTTGGAAAAGGTCGACCCTAAAAATGCACACCTCGCCTTATCCCACGGATATCCGTCTCCGGTGGTAAGGTCTCAACAAGTACGGAGCTAACACAAAAATTACCCATAAAAAGGTCGTGTGCGACCGACCTCAAGCAACTGTCCCTTGGGCATTGCGGTCACCTTCTCAGGTTACTACGACCACCTCTAATCCAATTTCCTTTTCAGGTACCTCCAGAAGAACCCTTCCACGGTGTGAGCAATCGGGAAACGATAACCGCCCTCATACGCCTAAAAGCACTCAAGACTACTATATTCATAATCAACCTCTCTCTATTATCCAAACTAATCCAATAGAAATGTTCATATGTCTTTTTCGATTGTTCATTAACGAAATTGTTTAATGAATTTCAATCTGTAAACTCTATTGGCTATAACTCGATGGTCATAATTTATACTTCATTGATTGAATAATTAATAAATAATTAAATGAGTTATTTCTATTTATTTAATAAGTTGTTAAACAGTTTCGCAACATTAATTATTCAACAGTTTGTCCAAGGTAAGTGATATAAAAATCTAATTGGTTAAATAGAATATCATTATAACAGTTAATAATAATAATAATAATAATAATAATAATTTCTATCTGAAGTTTGTGCTGATGTCGTTCAGAAGAACGATGAAAGCTCCACGACCAAACCATCCAGCTCAGAGAACAAAACTCCACCAAAATCACCCACCTGAGCTACAAATCTTCTCCACCATCTCAATAATAATAATAATAATAATAATAATAATAATAATAATAATAATAATAATAATAATAATCTATTTGACCTTAATATACATCAAAGAAAATAATTCACTTATGTAATGATATGAATGACAAGATGTTATGTTTCGTTTTTGCTTGAATGCGATTACTGATGCGTCTTACTCGAACGAACGAAGGATCAATGATTCAGCGACTCGATAGCTATTCTGGTTCGTTGTCCCCAACTCTGCTAACTCGATCAACAAGTCTGGGTAAGGTGTAGAAAGTGTATTCTGCAGACACACAGCAGATAACAAGTCAACTCAAGCACACAAATCAAGCGTATTTATACAAATATTTACAATCGATATTGTCATGGAAGATTTTTGAACATTAATCAACAATTGACTGCTATTTGAACATTTAATCGATAGTTCATCAATTGACCTATCTGCACATTTAATCGATAAGTAAATTACAAAATTTGAGTTTTGGGGATCTATCGTCCCCAACACAAGATAAATTATCATTTCTTGTAATATTATTTCAACTCTACATACTTATAAAAAGAAGAAGTATAGTTCTAGCTGTCAATGTTTATAGGTATCGGTTTTAAAAAAGAAAACACACATTAAACTAATTAATGACTAACTAATCAACTTATTTAAGAGCAAATCATTTACGCAAAAGATCATCTATCAATCAAAATATTGCTGATGTATATTATTTGTATTATCAGTACAGGGTTGTGGAGATTGTTGAATTTTAATTAAGATTATGAGACGATCAATGTTAGACTACAATTGAAAACCTGAAATCATTAAATGGCCATCTTGTCCTAGTATGGGACTTCTCAGCAGTACGTATCCACCAACCCGCACGCCCAACTCGAACCCAGGACCTTCGGTCTAGAGTGCGAACGCTTCACCTTCACAGACCAATGAACCAATATCCAACGATGTCAATGTTTAACTTTAACCAATCCACGATATTGCGTAACTAACTTATATTGTCTTCGGTGGGTAACTTTCTCACAACCGATACGGATTAGCTCCACTGGTCACGGCTTCTCACTAGAACTCCATGAATTACCTCCTGAAGCTATTCACTAGTGAGCACATGATAATTATTAGTACAGGGTTGTGCAGTTTGTTGAGTTTTGATTGAGTTCATGAATCGATAATCGCGCCATATCGTGGATTGGTTGAAGTTAAACATTGACACCGTTAAATACCGGCTCAGTGGTCTAGAGGTTGAGCGTTCACGTGCGAGACCGAAAGTCCTGGTTTCGGATCCCGCGTGCAGAATCGTAGATGCGCACTGCTGAGGAGTCCCATACTGGGACAAGACGGTCTTTCAGTGATTCCAGGTTCTCATTGGTGGGTCCAACATTGATCGATTCATGGTCTTAATCATTTTTGTTAGTTTATTCGAAAGATTCCAACTCTTACTCTGAAACTCCTACTAAAAAATATGTTAAAATGTAGCTGTTCATTTGATATGTCTGTCCGCTCAGCTAATCAATTGCAACTACAGCTTTAATACAATGAAAGAATTTGCTCCTATGTCCTTCTTCTTCTTCTTCCTCTTCCTCGACTGTTAACTGGAATGTGAAGTTCAAGTTCGTATAGAAGCTGCTCTTGTAAGAGATTCAAGAGGATTGGAGCTTTAGCAACCCAATTCAACATTAGTATAATTCATGCTAACAATTTCAAACCCTAAAATTGAAGATTGACAATCTGTAATCCATGTACGCATTGTCAGGTTAGAAAATTACTAGCCACAAAATCAAAACATTTTGATCCATAAGTCTAAGCATGATAATTTTAAAGTAATAACAAGTGGCTTAGATCAGTTTTGTCTTATTACGAAGTTAAGTTAGTCATCCTTACAAGAAGTCCTATAAATCTATAACCCAAAATGAAAATATCACTCTTTAATGATTCTTTTTAGATAGTTGGTTAGTTAGTTAAATACATCTGTAATTCAAGAGAGAGATTTAACAAACCAAGATATTTGTAAACATATATTTCAAGGAAAGATATTCTATGTACTTAAATTCCAAACGACCTTATATTTGTCAAATCAAAGATGACTTACATTTTATTTAATTTATATGGACAAATATTAATAACATGTGAAAACATTGAATGATAAATGTATGTACTTGTACATTGAATACTAAAGTACATTGTAACAAATTTTTGAGATGAAAATGGAACCAAACGTTTTTACATCCCCACTGAAATAAATATGTGATCAGATATTTATTTAAATAGTGACGCTTGACAAAACAATGAACAGTAAATTTTATTTGATAATTATTTATATCAGAAGGGGTTTTATGGATGTTATATTAATTTTAATAGTTGAGATCATGAGTCAATGGAAGCTAGACCACCATGGAAAACCTGGAAGCACTGGACGGCCGTTTCGTCCTATTGTGGGACTCCTCAGCAGTGCGCATCTGCGAGCTCGAGCTCGAACTCGGGATCTGTCGGTCTCGCGCGCGAACGCTGCGCAGTGGTCTAGAGGTTAAGCACATATATATATATATATATATATATATATATATATATATATATGGAACAATTTTGACCAGTTAGTCTATGATTCAAACTACACAACACAGATTTATTTGAAACCAACAAAACTGACCGGCAGAATAAAACTCATAGTGTAACATGTTAATAGAACCATATTTAGAAGTCAGTCAGTCAGCTACAACGTAGGACCAGGCACATATATGCATCGGTCCAAGTTGTCATACTTCATTAACACAACAAGATCAACATCGGATTCATAAAAGTAGTTAATTCAGTGGTGCTAATATATAAAAGAAAGATTGCATATAAGGATATAGTACAGGAAGAAAGAATTAGTTCGTAGAAAGAAAGATATGAAGCGATTTCAATCTCTTAGTTTAAGTAAGGGAAGACAAAGAGTGAATACACCTACACCATTGTGATCGATTCTGAGCCATGTCACCAAGAATCTCCAACCATTAGTTACGCGTTCGACTACTTCATTCCCTATCCTTAGTCCTGAAACAACAACTTTCATTTAGAGGGAGAAAAGCACATTCCAAACATTCTAGCATTGTTGCTTAGTGCTACCAAAAGACTGCATTTCATCAGCGTCCTCACCAAACAGGACTATGTCATCTGCGTATTCTAAGTCGATAAGTGGACCTCCTGGAAGGTGATCAATATCCGAGAATTCAGTGGACGAGAGCGTTATTTCCACCAGTAGGTCTATGATGAAGTTAAACAGAAACGGAGAAAGTGGACAGCCTTGACGGACACCACTTGAGACAAGCCCGACCACCACGTCAAGGTAGCAACAACGGTCGGGTATTAAG